GTGTTGGTGGACTCCGGGTGTCCGCGACTTTCGCGGGGGGGGGGGGGGGGGGGAATGCAGATGTAATTACCTGTATACAACTTTTGACTAGCATACACAGTATTTCATATTGAAATGAAGGATATAAAACTATTGCATTAGAGAGGGTAGCAGGGAAGTCTCCCCCAAATGTTAACCATCTGAGATAAACCACAACCAAAGAAGCTGTTAGTTTGAAGACCCTTAGAGCTCTAACAAATTAGTATTATTACGTTCTAGCATTGTTTTTGCTTTTTTTAAATATCACCATTTCCTTCTCTCTTCACTTATATGGCTTCCTCCATTTTTCAGTGTTCTACATTGCCCTTCCTATATCTTGTTATTGACTCTCATTCATGTCCTTCCCTTCTTATTCTCAGCTACCTCCGATTCCTAGCAATCCATCATCCTCCCCAGGACCACTCATCTATTTCAATCCATTTCTCCAATAGCCAGTCCTTCATCTTGTTCATAAGCCCCACCACCCCTACCTCCTCTTCTCCACAGCTTCAGAATGTCCTCTGCTGCCCTCCTGTGTTTTTACTGAACACACCCAATGCTTCTGAGACTACCCCTTGTAGCTGAACACCATGTAAAGTATGGCCAACAGTTGTATGCTAAGATGAGACTGATCACTCACCAATTCTGCCATCTCAGGTTTATCTCAAGGACAGTGGGAGAGGTGCAACTAGACAGTCTAGAAACTATTCTGATCTCACCTTCACCAGGTACCCTGACAGTAATGAACCAGGCCTCAGAAACAGAGAGGGCATTACAGCCACTCTCTAAATAGTAGATTTCAGAATCTATTGTACAACCCCCTTCAGTAATAATACTCATTTTTCCTTATTTTCTTTTACTTCGTTTTGGCAGCCTCCAAGGTATTATGTTTTTGTTAGTTTGCTTTTTTACCTCTTTGGACTTCTAAATTTAGCTAAATAAGCATATTACATTACATGTCTTTAATTCCCTCTTTCAATTTACTAAAATATGCGGACTTGTCAAAACAAACAAACAAAAATCACCGCTAACTCAGACAAACCTTCTCTGAAGCTTTTATTTCCAATAGAACCTGAATTTTCTTTCCTGTTCTGTTATATGAGGCTTATCAATATAATGGTGGTATGCTACAATAGCACCTCCACAGAAAGAACATTTTCATTTATTAAGTAGAAAAAAAGGCCTTTAAAAAGATCTGACAATTTCTTTTATGGGTTAAGGTAGCGTTAATCAGTGACACTTTCCTTTAAAGTCCTTTTCGTTCTGGGAAAATCCAACCTTGCTGGGTTTAGCTTTAACTCTTGTTTAACATGATAGTCAAGGTAGCCTGACCTACTTTATAAAATTTGTGTCCATTTAGAAGGCTGACATCATTTTGTATTTTCTTCTCTCACACTTCATTGATTTCCTCCACAAAAAGAAAAAATATCTGCTAGAAGTTCCATGATGGACACAGGGAGGAAAAAAATCCCACTAAATACTTAATATAGTTGTAAAAAAAAAAGAAAAAGCATTCTAAACAGCAGAAAAATATGTTGAGTCTCTACTGAAAGCACCTTTACAGTACTGAATTTTATAAACTGCAAGACTCAAGGTGTTCAAATTAAAGGTGAACTAGTGCAGTAGATTAAGGCTTTCTGATGAGTCATGAGGCAACAAGAACCTTTGGTGAATAAAAAAAATATGTTGGGTTTTTTTTTATTTTTGTAGTTAGCAGCTCCCAGAATGGCACTTGTAGTGCCAAAAATCTACTGAATTAGTACTTAAACCATATTAGGGGACAGAGTCATAACACTCCCTTAGTGGTTAGTGCAGCTAGGCAGTTAATCAAGCTCCCAAATATTATCAAAAGGTGCCAAGTACAGAACTGTATTAAGGTACCAGGGCAGAATTAATTTACTACTATATAACTGAACTATATTGTGTCATGAGGCTGAGAGACAAATATAACCTGGTTACATGTATAACTAGTCAAAGATAACCAGGTGCTTGCTTGAAGCAAGCAAACTGATTTTTGCCAAATAAAAGTATTATCTATTTACCCGTCCACTGCTATGACTACACATCTACAAGTTTCAGGCAACATCACTGGAAGGCATTTTTAGCAGTGTTTAGACAGCTTGTATGGATAAAACTTGTAATAACCTGATCCATGCAAGTCCAAAGCAGGTTTACAAACACACTTAAAAAAAAATACTGAATCCTAGCATGTACATCAGTCTCCATCTTCTCACCCACACCATTCCTGTAGACAACTTGAACTTCAGCAGTCAAAGGCATATTTGCTTAGGAAAGCCCAGGTAGTCTGCTTGAAACTGAAATGCTGAATGCATTTCATGGCCAAAGAGGGGTGGGGGGAGGGGAAACAAAGTTCCTCCATTTTAGTATGTGAATTTCAATAAAAACTCAAAATCAGTCTAGTACTTAATGTAACCAAACACTTAATCCTACTTCTTCTGTGATCCCAGCAACATCATACACTGATTAAAGGTGGCTCACATGCCAACTCTATTTTCAAAGGTGTACTTTGCACAAGATTTCTGTCATGTAATCACATCAGACTAACAGTTATTCAGCCTGTATTTTTGCTTAAATGGAACTGTAATTATTTGTATATGTAGATCCCATCTCTTACAAGAGAAAAAAATTCAGCTGTATTCAAATGTTGAAATTTTAACTATTTAATGCCAATTGCTCCCCTGTATTGGAAAAGGGGCAAGGATCAGAACACATTAAAGACAATTTTAAGGCAGGAAGGAAAAAGCAGCTTTGTAAACCTCATTTCAACACATAACTTGTTAGACATACATTTTCATTGGACAAAAAGAAAATTAACAGCCAGCCAGGATGAATTAGTAGATATTACTAAAGCCTGAACCTGCAAAGGGAAGCTGCCAAAGTAGTGTGGTCCTAGCAGTCCTAAAAATTACACAAAGGGATGTTAATGCAGAGATGATTTAAAGAGCGCCATAGAGGCAGCAACAGATAAGCTGTAACTGGAGCAACTCCTGGACCCTCCCCAATGAAGTTGCACAAAGAGAATGACCGGGTCATCAGGACCAGAGCAGCATTTCCCCCTGCACTTCCACAGGCTGAGCTGCTGCCTTCCTGGGGTTGTTCTTACCACCCGCACCTGCCTGGAGCTCGGTGCCCAGCGCAGCCCTGCCCAGAGCTCTCGGTTCCAGCGAGACAAAACCTCACGGGGCCGACGGCTCCCTTTCCCCAGCCTGGGTGGGAGCCCTCGCCCGCAGGCCCTGGCGGCTCCCGGCGCAGGCGCCGCCCGAGGCATCCAAACAGCGGGCACGGGCCTGCAACCGCGGGGGGCGGCGGGGGGGCGGCGG